GAGTAGACGGTCTACATTTCTACAATTGCTGTTACCAAAATCGGACAACAGAACTCTGAAAAATCATCTAATTCGAAAGTAACTTTTTCTACATCTGACTGCTTTTTGTCTAATACATACACACACAGTAACACTCTGAGTGCATCAGGAGCAGCTTGGGGTTCAGTGTCTTGCTCTGGGATACTTTAATAAGCCGACTGGAAAAGCCAGCGATCACAAACCACCGACTTTCCAGTCACAGGCACCTTCATGACCTCCTTAGTCACTAGAGTTCTACAAACGTCAGTCCCATTTTTGCCTCATGGATGTGCAGCTGACAGATACACAGCATCTGTGTGCTATGATGACAATATAGATGTTTCAAGCACCTTGTTGAGTCTGTGCCATGAAGAATTAAGGCAGCTGTGGATGCATGAAGGGCTTCAGGCTCAACATGGTGTAACTAAGCAGCCAGTTAGTGTAGATGGTCCATCAGTAACCTTCTGTCTGTTGTCATATAGCATCTGGTGACTGTCGGTCGGGACTTTGCCTGCAGTGTATGGAGCGGCAACCAGTTGTCTATGAGTCTTAAATGGCATGAAACCGTGTCTCACATAGATGAGAAGACCTATCGATATTTGGCTTGCAGGTAAAACCAAATCTAATCAAAGAGCATCTTAGTGTTTCATACAGTACAGTGCACCAGAAAGCTTTCACGCTTCACTTGTTCCCCGTGTTGTTACAGCCTTGTTCCAAAACATTAACACAATATCTCACAATGATACAGTGAAACAAAGTTTACTGGAAATTTGTGTCAAATTTGAAAAATATAAAATAATCCACGAGTATCGAGTCTTTGTGATGGAGCTCCTCCTGTTTTCATCACCTGTCAGATGCATTACTCAAAAGTGATGCAGCCTGTTACTGATTTACTCACTAGAGAAAGTAATTTGTTACACTACTTGTTACATTGAGATCTGAAACGCTGTGCTGCTGCTCCCCATCTAACCTGTCGGAGCTTCACTGCGTGAGTCAGGCTTGTAGATTTAACAGCTGCCAGAGGTGCTGCAGCAAAGTACTGAGCAGGCTGTGCTTATGTACCAGTGTTCATTTTATTTTTTAATCAACTTGCAAAGCTTCAGGCAAACGTTTTCATTTTGTGGAGTTTAGTTTGAAAGTGTAAAATAAATGAATCCATCCATAAGACTGAGAGATGGAAAAATGTGGAACAAGTGAAGTGAAGTGAATCTCTCCGGTGCGCTGTGCAGACGTCTGTCAGTAACAACGACTGCATGATTGTCTGTTCGCCTGTTTCAGGTTTGGAAAGGTTGAAGACCAGAAAGATGCCCTGAGACTTTACACCGTGCAGATCCCCCATAAACGAGACAGAAAACCTCCCCCGTGCTACCTCACCAAGTGGGACGGCAGGAGCTTATTGGCCATGCTGACGGCTCCCTGCGGCGCCGAGGTCATCTCCAGTCTGGCTGTCAGGTAACCGCTTCAGAAATGCTGACATGCAGACGGGCTGCTGTGTTTGTTGAGATGTGGTACGACTACGATGTCTAACGAAGCCCTCACATGGTGTTTTCAGACAATCAGATTTAGTGCGACCTAAGCTCTACT